CATTTGCAATTTTTATTTAAATTTTTTTTTTATAATATATATACCTCAGCATTAACAACATGTAAATAATCGACATGCTATTTCTTTTCTGTTCTTGAATGATTCACCATCCAGCTTGATATTTCATATTGCCTATTTGTACCGAAATATGATGCCATCAGCTGATTCACTTTGTGCTAATATTGCCCATTAGTCATGCCCAGACACCTGCTTTGTCTTGCAATGTAAAACTGCCATTATCAACATTCTACTTCCTAGCTAGTGTTCCTCTGAGCTTGCTTACATTCATTGTGAAAATTATTAGTATCTCCTTGAATGAATAGATTCATTGTCAAAATTATTATCATTGCATGCTTCTAGTTAAGTGGTGAGGTTCTTAGCAGTTGAGAATGGTTGGTTCAAAGGGCTATTGGAAAATCTCAAGAAATTGTATGTGTTTTCTGTTCAGTCAATAATTCATTGGTGATGATTATTCCAAGGACGATGATAATTATCAAGTCATTTGAGACATTAATATTAGTATCATTATAGTGTAGTTACTAGTAAATTTACTTGATATTAACATTGATGAAACCACCTACTTATCATAATCTGGATTGTTTAAAAATTAATGAATATATATGAAGTCTGATTGGAATTTAATTTGTGGATGTTCTGCATCATTCGTTAATGTAATTTTTTTCACAAAACATATGTTTCCACTTTATAGATTGAGAATTATTTAGCTGATGAACATATGCTCATAGATCGCAGTGTTAGTTGCATGACCATGTCGTTTATTTCATATATATTGCTTAAACTTGTCTCGAGTATTTTTTTTTTTTGAGAGGTAATCACTTGTCAAGCATTTCATAGAAGGAAGATTTTCTTGTTAAGCGTTTAGATTTTTATTCCTTTGGTTTTGGGCAGAAAGTAGTTCTGGTGGTACCATTGATCATCGAAATAATAGTTCAAGATATGACTGATCCTGATAGAGCTCTTCGTCAGATTTACAAAGCGCGCAGTATTGCAGTTAAGTTCGTCCAACATTTATACAAACTGAACGTTATATGTAAATATTTTATTTCTTTACTTCTGTACTTATTTATTTTTGCATCGAAATGTTCCTTTAATATATGAAATAGAAAAGTAATTTTCCTTTCTCATAAATGACTAAATTGTTGTATCTTATTGTAGTACCTGTTTATGATAAAAGTTTATATTTTTTGTCAAAAAAAATGTTTTAAGTAGCATGTTTTCTCTGTAAGTATCAGCTTGGAGTTTGAAATTGTAGAATGGGAGTTGTCATAATGGACCTAAGATTTTCTTTAGTTTTTTCTAGAATCTTTCTGGTGGTGCCAATTGGCAATTACGTTTGATAATTATGGTATTTCTAATATAGGTGTAGGCAATTACTGCTTGCAATCATGAGAACTTCATAGAGTATATATTAGTAACTTGATGCCCAGCTGGTAAAACTCAATAACATTACTAAGATTTCTTCTGAACATTTGCTTTGTGTCTTTTCTCCTTCAGGCAAATTTTGATCACATTGTTTCTTCTCTGCAGTTAATCATGGGTGCCCTGTACACTTTCTGCTCTAAGGACCTTAAAATAGGTACGTTGCTTCAATTTCCATTCTCGGTAGCACTTCAACTATTAGAAGTACAGTTTCTTGTGCGCATGGGTTTCAAATAGAAGATCAAGTTAAAAATGAATGGATCATATGCCTCCTCATAAACATCTACTCCCTCCGTCCCACAAAAGTGCCCTTTTTTAGAAATCTAACTTTTTGAGTGTAGTTTTTAATGTTTTTTATTATAATGGTAGGGAATGAATTTTCAAATATACCCTTCTATATTGGGTCCACATGAGGTTTTATTTCAAATTTTAAATGCTTTTATAACTTCAAGGCAAGAAGGGTAATTTAGGAATACTTAAAAATTAGTACATTGAATTTTGAAGTGGGACAATTATTTTGGGACAACCAAAAATAGAAAAGTTTGACACTTTTTGTGGGAAGAAGGGAGTATTAGTGTATCTGGTTAAAGAAATTACGACAATTCCTCGGGTTTGAACCTCAGGTAATTTGTTTGTGTTTTTAGACGATGGAAGAGCAAGACTCAAATCCCTCAGTGCAAGATATTCTGCTCAATTTAGTTTTTCAAATGCATGATATCTTCAACTCATATGCATTCACTTCATCTCATCCAAAGTAAACTGATGGTTGCTGTTCTACAGGGAGTCTGAATACCATAGACTACTTCGACTACTGTGCAATCTCTATGGTAGTCATCATGCATTTGGTTAACCTCTGTCGCAGTCATAGTCATAGTCTTCTCCAACGTGTGAGACAGCTGGCTGCCCTCCGACCTTGTCTTGCTGCAACTGCTGTTCTCCGAACATTCCCAATCATATCAAAGATGGAGAGCCTTGAAACTATGTGATTACTCGGATTGATGGAAGTGTTAGGTTTGTGGTCCATCTGGATCTTTTTGTAGGGTTTCGAATCAACCTGGCAATATCTGGATTGATGAAACAAAAGGCCAAGAAGAGGTCGTATAACTTCTGTAGAGGAATTCGTTGGCTCGGAGTTTTTCATTTAATTTTTTACTCAATTTTTTTTAGTTTGGCTTAGGTTTCTGGACTCGATAATCATTTTCTCGAATTGGCTATTATTTGTTGGGCATTCCCTTGCTATGTGATGTTGTGTTTGATTGCAATGAGATGAAGATGGTTCTATTTCAAAAGCTAATACTGTCATAATTTGCTACTTTTTTACAATACAGGGGTGTTTAATGCAATTTTACCAATAAAGTATTTCAAATTATTATATATTCTCTCTTAATCTACAACTTAAATCATAGTTGTTAAATGAGAGAAACAAATTTAATATTGGTTATTCTAAAATCTCTTATCAGGATTTAAAAAATGATCAGAAAGCAGCAAAGAATGATGAGAGTTCCCAATATTAATGTTGTGCTCTCTTTTTGTAAAGCAAGAAGTGTTAGATGTTATATTAGTAGAAATAGATGGTCGAAGTTTAGCATTAGACTACTCTTAAATTAAATATGTTAAATATGTGCTTGCCCTTGTTACTCTTTTTTTTGCTAAAAGAAAAAAAAAAAAAAAAAAAAAAAAATTATCAATTAGACACTCATTTTTTACACTTGTAATCTGAAGGCTTCTTTCACTTTAGGAGATAAGTATCACTAAGTAACAACTCTTACTATGGACAATTGTTTTCATAATTATGTCATCATCTGAGTGATATATCACATATGAAAGTATGAAATGAACTTAAAATCTAAAATTAGATGAATGACATTTTGATATGTAAGAGAGAGCATCTCCAATGGCTTTGTTAAAATTTGACAATCTAGCATTGTCACCTTAGCATTTTTTAGGAGCCCATTAGCCTTTTTAAGAGTCACGTCGTATTTTGGACTCTCTAATAGTGCGTTTTCGCTCTCCAAAAATAAAAAATATTTTACTATTTAATTTTAATTTTTTACATTTTTTTTTCAAGGGCTCTATTTTAAAAGGCTATAGTAAATAGAAATAAAATAAAATAAAATAATATCTATGAAATAAAAGAAATTAAACAATTATTTTTTAAAAAAATTAAAATTATTTTTTTGGGTGCCGCTTTAATCTCAGTATATTTCAAGGGGGAAAAATAAAATAAAAATAAAATAAAATTTGGCATATTTTTTAATCAAACTACTCCTAAGTTACCGTTTTTGACGAACTATTTCAAAAAATTGGCCCAAAATTCGGCAAGCCCATTGGAGAATCGGGCTCGCAGAATTTGATCCAAAATGGCCAAATTTTGAAGTAACCCGTAATTATTACCTTTCACTTTGAGTTGTTGACAAATTTTAAAGTCTTTGTTGGCCTAGTACTTCCTCCTTGCATATTAAAAGTTCAATTTGGAAACACAGTTTTGAAAGTAAATTTCACAATTCTTACAAAAATTGTGCGGATCACAGTTTTTAAAGTGAACTTTTAATATATGACAAAAATTGTGTGAATCACCGTTTTTAAAGTGGACTTTAATACAGGACTGGGAGGGTTTGGCCATTTTTTTTTTTTTTTTTTCTGACTGAGGGTATTGATAAAGTTATAAGAGAAGCTGGAGTTATAAAAATAAGAGAAGGTGCAAGTGTGGAACCACAAGATAAGTTGCTATTGTGCAAAACAATACTCCCTCCCTCTCAAAAAAAAAAAAAAAAACACATGTTCACTTTTTATTTTAGTTTGTTCCAAAATAATGATCTCAATCTAATGAATCATTTTATATATTCCTCATTTAACCTTGTCTTGAAGTTATAAGAACAATGATATCAAGTTAATCAATCATGGAATGGTATATTTAGAAATTTATTCCCTATCACTGTAATAATAATTAATTAATTAAAATCTACACTACTAAAAAGTTGGGTTTTAAAAGGGACACGAAAGAAAGTAAAAGATAAGAAAAGTAATAAAAATAGATATACAAACACATTTTCACGGTTTAATGCATCAATCATATCTCTTGCTCCGTAGGACATGTTAACACCTCAAGTTTATTTCAATTTGAAAAAGATCATTGTTATTTTAATTGACACTTAATTAATTGAGTATCTCACAAAATATATGACCAGCACCACAACAATTGTTGTGTGAGACACCCGAACAATCAGGTGTTTTGAATTCTATAATTTCTTTTTCAAAAAATATTTTGTCCGCTTCATACATCAATCACATTTCGTGCTATATATACCAATTCAAGTTTACATTTAATTTAATTTTTACTTATTTACACACATCAGAATTATATTATCCCGAGCAAGCAACATGACACATAAATGAAAGCTTTACCATTTAACCCAAAAAAAAAAAAAAAAAAAAAACATGACACATAAATATACCCTTCTATGGCCTATTTGGTAATTCACATCTCATCTGTGGGCATTTTTGGAATTCTAAAGAACCAAAAAATTGGACTTTCGTTGCCTTCAGGGGGATTTTAGGACATCCCGACAGTGATCCTTCCTGCTACTTGGAGAGAGAGCGCAAATATGAAGAGAGAGTACATATATATATAGAGATACATATATATATATATATTATATATACAGAGAGATGAAATTCTCCTGAATGCGGTTAAGAAGGCGAACGAATCAAAATCTGATGGAAATGGAAAAAGGTTCCGACTCTGTTAGAGAGAGAAAGAGCGAGTCGGGGGATGAATTTGGTGAGATGGAGGGACCTAGTGAGAGAAACAGTGAGGTGAGAGAAACTAGTGACAGAGAGATAGTCTCCTGTTCAAGCCCTAGCAAGACAGACTCCAACGCACCTCCTTCCGACGACTGTTGTCCAATCTGTTTCGGCGACTTCACCGTTCCTTGCCGAGCTCAGTGCGGCCACTGGTACTGCGGTGAGTTTTCCATACCAAAATTCCGAATCCTCTGTTTCGTTTCCCCAATTTTGTTGGCAACCGAACAAGCGTGATGATTTTCTTGCATTTGATTTGTTTCTAGAAGCTTTAACGATGGGTTTACATCTTCCTTACTTGCTTCTTGGTTGAGGTTTCGTTTGGTTCCTGAGAAACTTTAGGGAAAGGGGAAAATATTGAGTATGGGAGATTTAATTTTGGACCTGAGATGACGATAACTCTGCTTGTTTTTATAATTTTTTATTAATGGTATTTGGCATGCTCATTTTGTCTTTTCAATAATTTCTGGTTTCTGACTGTTGAGATTTATTAATATTCTTGCAAATAGCCCTTCTTATTTGAAAGATTGTTGAACAATAATTCCATACTCTTTACATTGGTTATAGATATTTTGGTAGGGGAAGCTTATGTTCGTCCTTTTTCCTTTCTAAAGCCCCATTTGTCAATCTTTTACATAGTAATACACATAACCTAATTGTTGGCCACTTTGACTATCTGTGTTACTATATCCTAATTGTGCAGAAATTGATGAATCATTAAACTATCATCTATGCAGTAACCTGGAGTGAATGCACAATCAAATTAACATAGGTTACAAGTATTTATAGTTCGTTTGAAATATCCTTTGGAAGTCATTATTAACTTGTGCTAGAGTGTATGTTTTTATAGTTTTATAACAATTGAAAACATCCAATCCTTGTTCCATATACCCTGACCGATACTCTCCCTTCTCACCTAGTTGATGCATAGTTTGGAGCAAATAATTTAAACTACCATTGAGGTTATAATCTTCAATTTAGTTGCAGATTAAAGCAGTTGCTTGAGACATAAATCTAACAAATGGAGAGCAATTGACATTGCTTTAGACTCTACCTACAAGTTCTTCCTTTATCTTTGGTTGGGTTATTCGAAAACAGACTAACAGAGCATAATTAGTGCTTTGAAGTTTTAATTACATGCTTTAAAACAGTTAATATTGTGGAGTGGGTTAATCTAGGATATTTGAATGGTATTCTAGACAAAAGGCGTGCCTTCAAATGAGTACATGATGGGAGAATAACAGATATTTTGTCTCGCTTAGAAAATAGTCTTTGGATTTTGGAAAACTTGGGGTGTCTTTGTAGGTATGGAGCTAGTAATACATGTGAAGCACCTTCAAATGTTCTTGGGGACAAGATTGCAAGTGGAAGAGTAACAATGAGTATTTCGCTTGGACAAAAAATATGTTTGTATTGATATAAAATTTTAATGTTGTCCAGCACCTTCCACCTAGTTTTCCCCCCTGCATTGGGGGTTGGGTGGTAATATTTGATAATATTTTAATTTGGGTGTACCCTATATGCTTTCACTGTACTATTATGAAATGAATAGTTGGAGCAGGAAAAGAATCAGGAAATGGGGTAAATTTCTCTACTTCTCTGTGAGGTAACTTCTATATTAACATCAACTAAAATACAAAAATAGATATTATTTTATAGTTCATATAAATAATGAAGAAAATTTTATGCCATGGTCAGCTTGTCATGTCCGCTTACAGAACTTAATTTAGGTGTCATCAATTAAAATGTTGACAATAAGGAGATGGATCTAAGCTCTCTATTTCTCTGGGGACTCTGTCCCTTTTGATCTCTTCAAATGTCTTGTTTATCGAGATTAAACTTTTTTTAGGTGAGTTATCCGGAATGACTTGTTGCAGTACTAAAATACAATGCAGAAAGGATTTTGTATTATGAACTAAGTAAATAATTTCAATGTCACAGTCAGTCTTACTTGGGGATTTTTAAAAATTTCTTCTTCACATTAATAATGTTGTTGGTTTCCTGTTCTGTGCCGGTGCTCTGGATCCTACAACTCTAGCATCTGGGAGAAGGCACTTTTCTACTAGGACATGTTCTTTCAACTGACAACCTTGGAAGTAAAGAATTAGTTTACTTTTAGGGAAATATATCATGTTTAATTTTTTTTTTTTTGGTAATTAATCATGTTTAAATTATTACTCTTCTTTTACCATAGAATTAGACTTTTTGCTTTAAAGTTATTTGTTATGAAGTTGTTGTTTTTCCTTGTACAGCTGGTTGCATTTTGCAGTACTGGAACCATGGTGCAGTGCTTCAGCCTTGTAAGTGCCCCATGTGCTCTCGACCCATTAATAAGTTGACAACAGTGATTTCAATGCACCACCGGCAGGAAGAGGGGGTTACTGAGGTTTTGGAAAATATATGGAAATATAACTACCTTTTCGTTGGAGGCATACATGGTCTCATTCATGTGGGTTGACATGTCTTTCTATTTGTGATTTTATATACATGTGTGTGTATATATATATATATATATATATATATACACCTCACCTTCTTGGAGGCACATTGCTCAATCTTAGAACTTGATGAATCAATGTGTGTGCACACTGAATAGTTGTATAATTTTCTCACTTCTTGAACCTTTTCATGTTGTAATGTAAATTATATTATAGAAATATGTAGCTTGATGAGGTTTTAAATTTGGAGAGCATTCATTTCTTGCAACTTTTGCATTTGTTCTTTGAAAATGTGTCTGTTCACATATTTGGAACTTCCATTTTAGCATTCTCTGCGGATAGAAAAAATAAACTGGCCATAGAAACAAAACAAGGTTCATATATCACGAAGAAATCAAGAACTAGAAGCAAAATTGAACATCAAACTTTAGTGCTGCTGCGATATTTGCAAAAGCTAAAACGTAGCTAGGACTTCTGTATTTGCAAAAGCTAGAATGTGACCACCTTGCTGATTGCGATGTAACTACTTATGAGACATATGTATGGCATATTGTTTTTTTTACCAATTGTGGGTGTCTAAGGTATATTACAAGGCAAGGCAATGGGACCCAAGGAAGATTCATGGGTGCTCTGTTGATGTTCTAAGTTCAAATTAAAGCTTAGTTCATTTGAGCAATTCCAGGTAATTAGTATAATGAGTTGACATGTAAAGTTGTAAACTGCACTTCTTTAGGACTTTTAAGGATATTGTTGACTGTCAGGGCATGGCGACATCAGGCCATTAGTGGCTCTTTCCTTGCTATTTTGAGAAACTGTGGCTGATACATATTTGGAAACGACATATGTATACATTTTTAGCTTGGCACTGATTCACCAGAGATTTAAACCTAGATCTTAAGTGAGGTCTCCATAAGTCAGTATCGACAACATGTGGTAAATTATTGAGATACTATTTCTTTTCTGCTCTAGAATGATTCACCATCACCATTGTATTTCATAGTGCCTGATTTGTACCCAAATATGATGCCATCTTGAGCGGCTACTGTTTTGATGTGAGCAGCTTATTCACATTCTGAACTTGGCTTTCATCATTTCTCCATTTAAGTTATTTGCCATGCCCAGACACCTGCTTTGCCTTTCAATATATAACTGCCATTATCGACATTCTACTTCCTACACGTCTCCTGTTGATTTCCATGTCCCAACCAGAATTTTCTCATATTTTCCAGCTAGTGTTCCTCTGTGCTTGCTTACATTCATTGTGAAAATTAGTATCCCTGGAATGAATAGTTCATTGTCAAAATTATTATCATTGCGTGCTTCAGGTTTAGTGGTGAGGTTCTTAGTAGTTGAGAATGGTTGGTTCAAAGGGCTAATAGATAATCTCAAGATGTCGAATGCGTTGTCTGTTCAGTCGATATTCCATTGGTGATAATTATTCCAAGGATGATGAGAATTGTCAAGTCATTTGAGATATTAATACTGGTATCATCATAGTGTAGTAACTAGTAAATTTGCTTGATATTAAAATTGATGAAACTACCTACTTATCATACTCTGAATTGGTTAAAATTAATGAATTCATGTGAAGTCTGATTGGAATATTATTTGTCAATGTTCTGTATCATCTTTACTATAATTTTAGACAAAGCATATGCTTATAGATCTGCAGTGTTAGTTGCATGACCATATCGTTTATTATATATATATGGCTTAAACTTGTCTTGAGTATTTCATTATTTCTTAGAGGTAATAACTTGTTAAGCAGTTCATAGTAGGCAGGTGTTGATTTTTATTCCTTTTCTTTTTGGCAGAAAGTACTTGTGTTACCATTGATCATCAAGAGAATGTTTCGAGATATGATGGATCCTGATAGACCTCTTCGTCACCTTCACAAAGCACGCATTATTGCAGTTAAGTGTATCCAACTGTTATACAAACTGAATAGTATATGTAAATATTTTCTTTCATTACTTATATAGTTATTTATTTGGGTTAATTTCACTGACACCCCCTCAGGTTTGGCCAAATACCACACTGAAACACCTTTCGAAATTTACTATCACTTACATTACAAACGTTTGTTTCGTCTTTCATTCACACCCCACAAACGTTTGTTTCGTCTTTCACTCACACCCCAACTGTTAACTGCACATGGTGTCAAAGATGTAAAATGACTTAGATACCCTTTGACTTTGACAAAATAACTCTTTAACCTAAATAATTTGATAAAAAGACTAAAATATCCCTAAATATTTTATAAATTTACAAATTAAATTATATATCTTTATTACTTTTTATATACTATATACATATATATACATATATAGGCTTGTCCAGTAGTTGTCCTCATATTTTTTGGACAACAAAAGCCCCAGCTTTTTATTGTTTTAGCATGTCAATTGAAGTCTATTTCTGTCATTTTATATTTGATTTTTATTTTTTATTCTTTTCATCTTTACACCAATGGTGCGTTTTCCTTATTTGCAACCACTCAGCCAAGGGAGAAATTATTGGTTACAACGGTTGTACCAAGTCATTGGTACAATCCACCAATACAAAAATTCCACTAAAATAAATGGTCCCACAATCGCTTAGTAAACTGTGATGAATCTAACCATTTTACTTTAGTGAAGTGTTTGTATTGGTTGGTTGTACCAATGACTTGGTATAACCGTTGTAACCATCCACGGCCATGGCTCCATGGTTTCCAACAAGACATGTTTTGTACTACCACCACCATTCCCACCTCCACAAGCACAATCATCATACCCATCCCCACAATCACCACCACCACCACCACCACCATCCTCACCCCAAACCACCTCCACCATGTCCAAACCCACAATCACCATTGTGTATTCTGGCGTGATCCACCACCATCCCCACCTCCACCCTACAACCACTGTATTTCGGCGAATGAATCCCATAACCATAACCAGTGCGTTATCACCACTATCCTCACCCTCACAACAACCACCACCCTTCCCACCCCTACAACAACCACCACCAATACCACTGTTCATTCCAGTGAAACAACCACACCGACATTCTTGCTCGGCGGAAGCATTGGTGCCGCACGACGTGCCGGCGTGGTTCACGGCTAAGAGACTGGGTTCCATGAGAGAGAGAGGGGGACGATTCCGATTGAGTTGAGAGAGGAGATTAGGTGCAGATTTATTTTGATATTGGGTTTGCGGTGTCGTTGCAGTTTTGCCAACACAAATCAACCCCAAAATCATACAAATCAAGTCATCGCCAACACAAATCAAGCCGTTGCCGGTGCATATCAAGCCATCGCCGTTGATCAATGGTCAACCTTCGTTGAATATTTCTCGTCACCGTCGATTGGATGTCGCCAATCTTCTCTTATCCATCATCAATCGATTGTACAAAGATGAGATGAGAGAGAGACGTTGACTGTACAAAGTGGTGGTGGTGGGCATGGCTGTGTGTAAAGCTGTGTGCGTGAGAGAGAGATGTGACAGAGAGGAGTGGGTAGGTGAGGCTCAGAGCGTTGAGACGAAAGTTCAGATCCCAAATAGAAAGCAAATCTTCCATTTTGATAATCATCCATGAAGCAAAATATAGAATCCAGTACCAAAAAAGGATTCACACCCGTCTTCCACTAATATAGTCAATAATTCAATATAAATGAGTTGTAGCTTAAGTAAGCAAGTTGATCTAGTGGGACTCTCTAACAAGACCCAAGAGAAGAGGTTAAAGACCAAGTTCAGGCCGATCAATACCTGCAAGCAAAATCAAAGATTTAACAAGGGCAAAATAGTCAATTTAAATTGTTGATATTTTGGAATATAAAGTATTAAAAAAAATTAGGCGCAAAATTGTCTCTTCGCGTGTTTTTATTGGTGTTAGTAACAGAAAAGTAAAATTGGACCCAAGTGATAGTAATTTTCGAAAGGTGTTTCAATATGATATTTGGTCAAACTTGAAGGGGTGTCAGTGAAATTAACCCTATTTATTTTTACATTGAAATGTTCCCTAGATATGCGAAATAGACAAGCATTTTTCCTTACTCATAAGTGAATCAAGTTATTGTATCTTGTTGTAGTACCTGTTTATGATAGAAGTTTATATCTTTTGTCAAATAGAATATTTAGGTAGCACATTTTGCTGTACAAACTGTTCATGCAGTTGCTCTGTAAATGTCAGCTTGAAGTTTGAAATTGTAGAATAGGAGTCATAATGGAGCTAAGATTTTCTTTAGTTTTTCTAGAAGCTTTCTGGTGGTGCCAATTAGCTAGCAATTAGGTTTGATAGTTACGGTAAATGCAGTGTGTGCTGGTAATGTCTATTATAGGTGTAGCCAATTACTGCTTGCAATTATGAAAACTTCATAGAGTAAGCATCGATAACTTGATGCCTAGCTGGTTAAACTCAATAACTTTACTAATATTTTTCTGAACATCCGCTTCGTGTTTTTTCTTCTTCAGGCAAATTTTGATTACCATGTTACTTCTCTGCAGATAACGCTGGGTGTCCTGTACGGTTTCTGCTCCTCTGATTTCCTTCACATAGGTATTTTGCTTCAATTTTAATTTTAGGTAGCACTCAAACTATTAGAACTACAGTTTCTAGTGCACCTGGGTTTCAAATAGAAGATCAAGGTGCAAAATGAATGGATCGCATGCTTCCTCATAAACATCTATCAGTCTATCTGGTTAAAGAAATTATGCCGATTTGTCAGGTTTGGACCTCAGTGGTAACTTGTTTTGGTTTTTAGATGATGTGAGAGATCAAATCCCTAGGTCCAAGATATTCTGCTCAATTTAGTTTTTCAAAAGTGTGATATCTTCAACTCATATGCAGCACTTCATCTCATCCAAAGTAAACTGATGGGTTCTGTTCTACAGGGTCTCGGAATGCCGTAGACTTCTTCGACTCGTGTGCTTACGCTCTGGTATTCATCCTTTATTTGGTTGGCCTCTGTCGCAGGCGTCGTCGTGTCCAACATGTGAGACAGTTGGCTGCCATCCAACAACCTTGACTGACTGCAACTGCTGTCCTCTAAACCATTCCGTCATGTCTCTTCAGCTTCGGAACTGAGTCTTGAAACTATGTGATCATTTGGATAGGTGGGAGTGTTAGGTTTGTGGTCCGTGTGGATCTTTTTGTACAGTTTCAAATCAACCTTGCAATACTGATGTGCTCTTGGTGGTCTTTTGTGTGCCTTCTGCTGTGTACAGCTGAAAATGTGCATATGAACAAAAACATTGGATTTGTTCACAGAAAATGTGCATATGAACCAATATGACCCACAAATGTCGATATGCACGTAGTCTTGCTCACTGTGCTCCGGCAATGGTAAGGACTCCCTGTTTAGTGTGGCTTGGGCTTCTGTACTCGATCCTCATTTTCTCGGAATAGCTATTATTTGTCGTGCATTTTCTTGCCATACGCGATGTTGTGTTTGATTGTTGAGTTAGCTAAAATCTGAACTGAGTTGAGTTTTTAAGGCAATCGAATTCTTAGACTCGGCCAAGAAAATCAATTCCAAAAATGGAATTTAGCCCATTTAAATTTTGATTTCATCAGCATGCAGCTAAATTTATTTTTGATCTATATAGATATGACCCTATTTGGACTGAAAACACCATGTACTCTAAAAATTACTGCTTTGAGATCTTGTGGCAAGCCGATGTTGGAAATTGTTTGGGTTAGGTTGGAATAAAGTGGTAGAACTCAGAAGTTGGTGATTGCTTGAATGGAACCAAATGGTGATGGGTGTATCAGATCGTTTTGTCCATTAGTTATATAGGTTCACCTAAGTTAGCCTGGACTTCCGTGATAAGGAAGCAAAATGTACAACACATTAGGATTAAGATTAATTAATCAATTTAGTTGACAATGTATATAATTATATATATATATATTAATATCGGTTGACACTAATTGACTTGGATAGTTGTGGAATGGGCTTAAGGTGTTCCTCCAATGAAAAAATGTTTTTCCGAATAAGGACAAGGTATGGGTAGGCTTGGATTTAGTATCAACAATGAAGGCATTAAAAATGGGCCTTTCTGTCATTTTGGATTCAAAGTCACTTACAATTGGAATCTTCTGATGTTCAATGAATGCATTAAAAATGGATCTTTCTGTCATTTTGGATTCACAGTCGCTTACAATTGGAATCTTCTTATGTTCAATGAATGCATTAAAAATGGACCTCTATGTCATTTTGGATTCAAAGTCTTTTACAATTGGAATCTTGTGATGTTCTAAGCTAAGTCACATAGAGCGGAGCAAGAGCGAGAGCGAAAGCACGGGAGCGGCATATCTTAAAAAATCTTAGAGCAGGAGCGCCGCTAGAGCGCCGCATTATAAATATATAAAATATTAATTTATAATAATAAATATATGTTTTAAACAAATTTTATGCAAACAAAAAGACAGAATAGTAAATCAAATATAAGTCCATTACAACAAATATAACCTGCTTTATAAAAATGTATAAATTAACAAATATGACAATCAAATAAGCTGCTTTATAAAAATAAAAACATAACAGTGAATAAGGCATAATAGAAAAAGAAAATTTCAAAAGTATTGTCTTTTATACATTTAACCTGCTTTAAGCTCTCAAGATGACAATCATTGTTCTTGAAATAGCAATGTTCAAAAGCAAAAGAATCTACTGCTAAACTTTAAAAAAGACACGAAATATCCAAACTTCCAAACCCAAAAATTAATGAAAGTAGGTTACATCAATATTATCTAATGAAGGTAAGTTGCGTAAGTATTATTAAATATTAAGTATATTGTTTAGCAATGTTCAAAAGCAAATGAATTTACTGCTAAACTTTAAATTAGACACGAAATATCCAAACTTCCAAACCCAAAAGTTAATGAAAGTAGGTTAAATAAGTATTATCTAATGAAGGTAAGTTGCCGAAGTATTATTAAATATTAAGTATATTGTTATATAACTTATATTATTTGATTTTTATTTATAAAGGACAGAGTTTACTTAATTAAATTAAATTGATTATTTTTTAACATAATTAACTTTATTGTGTCTATTTAAGCTTGGGGTAAAATCGAAATTTCTCAAGATTCATACTAAATTCGTGAATTTATTGTCAAAAGTCGTCGAATTCTTGAACAAAATACGCAATTTTACCTTATACAATTTGTCGAATTGAATTTTAAAAACCGGCGAATTCTTAAATTGAATTCGCGAATTCAAAAACATGTATGAATTTCCGAATTCAAAAACATGAGAGCATGAATTTTTGACGAATTCGCTCTCAAAACACCAATTCACGCGCAGAACGATAGAGCACTAGTAGTTTAAGCGAATTATGTGACTTAGGTTCCAAACAGCAGGGAAAAAAAACAAAGGATATTATTAGTCATGGGTCAAAGAGTTAAAATTCTAAAGGTATGAACCTTTAAGATTTTGACACATGTCCATAGGTGAACCACATTTGCAGACTTTATTAAGAGATTTTCTCTTTGACCCATGAGACCGTGACAAGACATTCTCAAAATTCTAGTGTCACAAATTACATTTATGTATTTCAATCATGGTTGCATGTCAATAACTAGGTCAATATGCAGTACCGTACCAAGTAGAGGTTGAGGAACCACCATTTGCACGTTGGAGAGGTCCCATAAAACTTTATATATAAAAAATTACCAAATAACGGATGCAACTTCTATAAATGTCTAGCATCGGATGTATAGTTGCATAATGATATGTGTAGAGACACATCTGGGGGATAAATTTATATAGAGGGATTTTTTTATAATTTTAATGGGGCAATTTTTAAATTTTATTGGTATAAATGCAAAAAAAAAATACAAATTTAGATGTGTAAATTGCAATAACAAAAAAATTTCATTGGGGGCCAATGCCCCCACTGAACCCATGGTACATCCATGCTTGGATATACGGTTCATTATAATAGTGTTATCATGATATTTTTATTCATAATTATACTATGTGTAAATTTTGTAACTACACCTAAATGCATTTCTATATTTGAATGGCTTACACAAAGATGCACAGATTTAGGTAAGGGGTGTACAAAAAAAACTGTGGAACCAAACCGGAACTAGAACCAGTGCTTCGATTTTGATTCTCACGGTTCTGGTTTCTGTTCCGGTTCTGAAATTTTGAAACCGTTACATAACGGTTCGGTTCCGGTTTCAGACTTCGGAACAGGAACCATTAAATAATGAGTTTAGAGTCATTAAATATTTAAAAAAAAAAAAAATGGAAGAAGAACTTGAATCGGAACTAAACCGAACCCGAACCCGAACCCGAACCGGGGAACCGGTTCGATTCGATTCAGATTCCATGTCCCAACAATTCTGGGGAACCTAAACTGTGTACACCCCTAGAGTTAGGTGTGAGTTGCGTGGTGTGGAATAAGTTGCGTAATTTAGTTTTTTTAAAAAAAAAAAAAAAAAAAAAAATAGAACTGAGAGGGGTTGAATGTGAACTTGCTCCTTTACCCAAATTTTTGCCTAAATTAAATTTACTGGATTTAGGTAAATTGATCAACCTACAAAGCAAACTAAATGATGCAAGTAAAGTAAGAGTAAAGTTAAAGAGAAACCGGGTTTTTAGCGATTGTACACACAAATTTCGCAATCTGCAAATAAAGAACAAAATAGAGAGCAAATAATAATTTATTAATTTATGAAAATTCGAGTACAATCCTCTGAGGTATTCTTTACAAAAGAAAGAAAATATCCTCTAATTCGACCTCCTTTGCTGGTTGGATTCAAGGGCTTTTGGAGCTTGATCTTGAATTGGGTTATTAACAATTTTCTTCAAATATTTATAATTGAAGAAGATCGCTGATGATTTCTGATCGAGGGCTGATGAAGCTTGATCTCGGACAATATTATGTGGTGATTCGTCAAACTTGTTGAATCACGGAGAAAGAACGGAATGATTTTGATGTGCTTGTTGTCTTTTGTTGAATTTGAAGAAGAGTGCTTGTTGTTCTTCGTCTTCATAAGAGAATTTGTTGAATTTGGTGAAGAACGGCACGACTTTGGATGTGCTTATTATTCTTCGCCTTCAGAGAGAATTTGTTAAATTTAATAAAGAACGGCACGGCTTTGGATGTGCTTATTGTTGATCACCGTGGAATTTTGATGAAGAACGACACGATTTGATGTGCTTGTTGCTCTTTGCCTTCAGGTTTGGATGTTGGGAATGAATGTTGGCAGAACTTTTGTATTTCTCTCTCGGATTTCTGCCCTCTGGATTTCTGAGTCTCTCAATTTCTAGACCCCTTTTTCTCCTTCCTACATGCCTCTATTTATAATAGGCTTCTTGAATTAATAGGATGATGACACGTGTCATCTCCTGATAAGGATAAAATCATAACTGAGCCGTGCCTGTTATATTATGATAATTATCCTTAAAAATAATTATTCCAAATATATTTTATTAGGAATAATTATTTTTTCATTTAATCCTCAGGGCTGGGCTAATTAAATAATTTAAGTGAACTAAGCATGGGCCAATTAAATAACTTAATTAAACATTATACCCATATTTGATGGGTCAATTTGTCAAAACCAAAATCCATTAAAATTTTAGTGTCTGCAGCGATGAAACCTAGTTGGTGAAAATTCCACCTACCACAAGAAAAACCTCGAAGAATGTCACAGAGCAAAAAGATTCACTATATTTGAAGCAAGTACAATGAATTTCAACTCAAGCTCACACTGCTTCACTTTACCAAGAACCATTCATTGAATGTCTTTGGCTTTATGACTCCTCCGTCTAATAGCACTCGACTTCATGCGTACTCCCTTAACTCTTGTAGACGGATTGCTAGAAGATCAATGACACTCCACGAACGCCTTAATTAACGTTTAAAGTGTGATTTCTTCCTCCTTGTTTTCAAATCAGAATTTTTGAAGTTGTGGGTACAAACTGCTTTGATTACCAGTAGCAAAACATCTTCGATGAGAACTAACACTGATCACAAAGAGAAACACGTCTTAAATCACTCGTGTGTGTGGTGCGTTTGTTCTCAAACAAAAAAATAAACAAACTCTGCAAAATCTCTCAAAAGCTCCCCTAGGGTTTTGAAAACTTGAATATTGAAAGCCATAATGATTTTGTGAATCACATATTTATTTATAAGTGTTTAGAGAACCCTAAAGGCCTCAGGAAATGTTAGCAATTTCATGCAAAAAATTCCCTTTAAAACCCAATCAAAAAAGGTTTCAAATACAATCTTTGCATTCTTATTGAGAGTTACTAGTATAGTATATTTTTTTTGTGAGAATAAAAAAACACAACTTTTGACTCCGAAAACTTAGCCCTTAATGAAAAACATAACATATAAATTTAAAATAGTGTCATCGCTTCACTTATCTTCTCTAAGTGATCTCTCAATGATTCCGAATCAGTTTTTTCTTATTGTTCTTTTCCGATCTTACGACTCAAAAGTAAATCAAAGATTAAAAATTAGTCTCCGCTTGTTTCGACATAAAATATTTTTTCAAAAAATATTTTTATTTTTTAAATAAATTTTTTTTTTATTTGTACTTTTAGGTGTTTAGCAAAGGTTTAGGTCGAGATTGAGGTCAAGTCCTTCGGATATGACGTATAAAATAATTTACCAAAAATTGATGAATAAATTATTTTTGTAAAATTTTAATATATTTTTTCTTCATAAATATTTTACGACAATTAAATATCAAAAAATAAAAAAAATATTTTTAAAAAAATATTTTACATCCAAATAGTGAAAGCCTTAATCGGACTTTATTTTCACGCTTGTCAAATACAATTTTACACTTCACATCAGGGAAATATGAATGATGACTTGTAGAGTGCATTGTGGTGATGCGAGTCAAACAAAGTAAACACGTGTTAATTCTAATTGCCAGTTATAGTTGTGCTGCTTTCAGCATAGGGATGGCAACGGGGCGGGTTTGGAGCGGGTTTCTCTAAATCCCGCCCCGCCCCTTTTAATTTTTGTCAAGTCCATGCCCGCCCCGAGACCCGCGACGGGTTGGATTTTCATATCCAACCCCGCCCCGTTAGGAAATACTGTGCCCCCGTGCCCGCCCCACTAACAAATTTTTTTCTTCCACTTTTTGGAACTTAAACTCCTGCTATTTAAATGTGCAAAGCCTAGGAATGACACAACATAAATAAAATTATGTATCCTAATAAAAAATAATAATAATAACATGCACATAACATAATTCAGAGAACATAATAAACAAAAATAAAAGTTTAATACAACCAAATCACAAGAAGTTCTAAGCTCCAACTTCCACCATAACCAAAACAAAAGCAAATTTAATACCAAGTTTACATCCCAAATTAGGATTATAAGAAATGGGTAATTAGGTAAGCCGCTAAAATAACTTATTAATATATATATATATATATATATATATATATATATTAAATATAGTTATATGCGGGGCGGGGCCCCTAGGATATGTATATTGAACCCTTACCCGCCCCGTGACCCTCGACGGGTACAAAATTTGTATCCATGTCCGCCCCAACGGTATAACAAGTGTTCTCATATCCGTTATTAACGGGGCGGGACGGGGCGGGGCCCCGGCGGGGCGGTAAAAATTGACATCCCTATTTCAGCATACTATTTTTAATAATTGTTGCGTTTTTAGCTCATTGTTTTTTTAATTAAGAATTTAAATATTTTCGTGTTCACCTTCATTAATTTTTCTCAATTTGACACAGTATTCGAAGTGAACACATTTCTGATTTTTTTTTTTTTTTTTTTAGTTGATACTCATATACATTTATCTTTTCTGAGACTTGAATCTCTTACCTCATTTTAAAAAATAAGAAACTAATATCGTTAGGTCACTTGAAGTGAATTTTTAAAATGAGATAGAAGTAGTATTATGTACACTATTTTGTAAACCCCACATCCACATTTATAACAATTTTGCCTTTGTTGAGCTATTGATACTTGGACAAATCTTGAAATCATTTTGCCTTTGTTGGCATTTTAGGGTGGTTTGACAATTTCTTTTGCTTTCAGGGTTTCACCCAAAGCAAAAACACACAAGTAATGTTTCTATTTTAAAGTGTTTCTACTTTAAAGTGTGTTTAACGTTACACGAAAATTTTTTGTAAGATTTTTGAAAGTAAAAACTTAAAAATATATTTAATAAAAAATTTTGTAAGTTTGAAATTTTAAATAACTAGTCAAAAATTTTATTTTAATTTTTTAATAGTATTTTGCCACCGTACTGAATCAAAAAAAAAATAAAATTTTTAAGTTTTTGATTTTAACATCAATTTCGGCGGCGCGTACCAACCTTACTGCCCATGCCTTGTACCTTTCTTTCCACCACATTACAGTAGTAACAACCAGGAATGGACCCATAGGCTACGTTGACATGAGTAAAACAAAAATATTATTATTGACCCTCGAAATTACTAAAAGATTTCATTATTACCCCCCTTTACTTTATTTTAAAAAAAAAAAAAAAAAGAATTGTACGAAGCTTAAATTGAGAGGATCTCATCAGAATTTAGACTGCCTTCGGACGGCAGTCACGGCATGCATGCTGTACGATCCCAACTCAGTGATCGTTACTGCTTGGATAGATATATACTTACATATATACACGTATATAGAGATAAAATTCTTAAATGCGATTGGTTTAATAAGTCGAATCAAAGCTTCCGACTCTTTTAGAGAGAGAAAGAGCGAGGTGGTGGATGAATTGAGTGGGGGTGGAGAGACGATCTAGTGAGAGAAACGCTGAGGTGAGGGAAACTAGTGAGAGAATGAGAAGTTCCGATCCAAACCCTAGTTACAGAGACTCCAACACTCCTCCTTCCGACGACTGTTGTCCGATCTGTTTCGATGCCTTCGTCGTTCCTGCCCAAGCTGAGTGTGGTCACTGGTACTGCGGTGAGATTTCGATACCAATTAAAACTCCCGATCCTCTTTGTTTCATTTCTTCCATTTTCTCGCCGACCAAACAAGCACGAGGATTTTCTAATTTGTCCTGCAATTGGTTTGTTTCCTGAAGTCTTAAAAAGGATTTACATTTTTGTTGCTTGCTTCTTGCATGAGGTTTCGTTTGGTTACTGAGAAACTATAGGAAAATGGGAGAAAATTGAATATGAGATGATTCATTTTGGACCTGAGATGGTGAATAACTCTGCTTGTTTTGGTAATTTTGGTTAATGATGTGTGGCACGCTTTATCTTTTCCAGAATATCTGGTTTCTGACTGCTGAGCTTTGTTAAAATTCTTGCAAATAAACCCTTCTTATTTGAAAGATTGCTGAACAATAGTTCCATACTCTTTACATTGTTTATTGATAATTTAGTAGGAAAAACGTATGTTCGACCTTTTTCCTATTTCTAAATCCCCAATTATCAATCTTTTATACGGTATCCCTAGTACGAGTATAAGATTTACCTTCTATCCTCGAATTTTACTTAGTTAATCTAGAATTATATTTGAATGGTCTTCTAGACAAAAGGTATGCCTCCGAATGAGTACTCAATTGGGGAATAACAAATATTTTGTCTCGCTTAAAAAATATTGGATTCTGGAGAACTTGGGTTTCCTTTGTAGGTGTGGAGCAAGTAATACATGTGAAGCAGGAGGGTTCAAGACTTCAAATACCTCAGGAAATATTTGATTTTTCTGAGGTACCTCAGTAGTGGTAGCATTAGCTAAGATTCATGATTCAAGTGGGGGAATATCACTCCATTTGAGTGTTCTGGGAGTTGCAACTGTGGCTTTTTCAAGGTTGGCTTGGACAAGAACAGTGGCGTCCTCAGGTTGGATTGGTTTAATAAACTGAGGATTTATGGTGGTCATGGTTTTGTCATAGATTCTGTAACTGAGATTAATATTTTTCGCATTGGTTTTCATGCGATATCTTTGCGTTTGGACATGAATTGTCAGAACATCTAATATATGAGGGTCATTTAGGACAACAGAAAAATTAGGATAACAGTTAAATTAAACTGGTCCTTGACAGAGACTTGTTTCCACCATGCCAAGTAAGGACTCTTCGAATCCTAAGTGACGAAAGTCTCGGAGGTTAACCAAGAGGGACGTCTTTATCTTGTGTCGGTCATAGGTTTAAGTCCTACCAGAACTAAGTCTGTTTTAATTCAAATTCGGGAAAATATAAATCATTAACTTTTAACTTCGGGAATTGTCCAATTAACAACTTCCAACACGAGAGAAAGAGTGAGGTAGAGGTCGAATTGAGTGAGATGGGGGAGGGACCTAGTGATAGAAACAGTAAGGTGAGAGAAACTAGTGAGAGCGAGATAGGTTCCAATCCAAAACCTAGCAGGAGAGACTCCAATGCTCCTCCTTCCGATGACTGTTGTCCAATCTGTGTCGAAGCCTTCGTCATTCCTTCCCAAGCTCAGTGTGGCCACTGGTACTGCGGTGTGTTCTTGGTATCAAAATTCCCAATCCTCTGTTTCGTTTCTTCCATCTTCTCGGCAACCAAACAAACATGAGGATCATCATTTGTCTTGCATTTGATTTGTTTCCTGAAGTTGTAAAAAGGATTTTCTTTTGTTGCTTGCTTCTTGCATGAGGTTTCGTTTGGTTAATGAGAGAATATAGGAAAAGGGGAGGACAAATTTGAATATGAGATATTTCATTTTGGACCGGAGGTGATGGATAACTCTGCTTGTTTTTATAATTTTGGTTAATGATGTGTGGCATGCTCATTTATCTTTTCCGGAATTTCTGGTCTCTGACTGTTGAGCTTTATTAAATTTCTTGCAAATAACCCTTCTTTTTTGAAAGATTGCTGAACAATAATTCTATACTGTTTACAGAGTAAATATAGAATATTTTGGTTGGAAAAACTATGTTCGACCTTCTTCCTTTCTAAATCGCCATTTATCAATCTTTAACATAGTATCCCTTGTATAACATTTACCTTTTATCCTCACTTTTTACTGAGTTAATCTAGAATATTTTAATGGTCTTCTAGACAAAAGGTATGCCTTCGAATGAGTACTCAATTGGAGAATAACAAATATTTTGTCTCGCCTAGAAAATATTGGATTCTGGAGAACTTGGGGTTCCTTTGTAGGTTTGGAGCTAGTAATACATGTGAAGCAGGAGGGTTCAAATTTGCAAGTGGAAGAGTAAGGATGAGTATTTTGCTTGGACAATTTTTATTTTTTTTGTATTGATATTAAATTTTAATGTTGTCCAGCAGGCTGTTATCATGAATCGGTATCCCACTATCCCATTTATTGAGGAAACGACTCACTTCTATGTCATGCATTTGACATTTGTGACATTGAATAACATTTGCCTTGCTCCTTCTACCTATTTTATTGGGAGTGTGTGTTGGGGGTGGGGGTTAGTAATATTTTAATTTGATTGTACTCCTAAATGCTTTCACTGATTCTGGTATTTTTGAATTGAAAGAATCAGGAAATGGGCCAAAATTCTCTACTTCTCTATGAAGCTTATGTCCCCTTTACGGTTGTGTTTGACAAGTCTATTTCTGGATATGTTAATCGCACCTAGATTGACCTGTAGTAACAACAACTAAAATACGAAAACAAATCTTATTTCATACTTCATAAAAATAATGAAGAAAAATGTATTCCATAGTCAGCTAGACATGTCCACTTACACTTAACTTAATTTAGGTATCATCAATTAAAATGTTGACAATAAGATGGTTCAAACTCAAAGTTCTCTATTTCTCCGAGGCTTGTGTCCCTTTTGATCTCTTAGTGTCTTGTTTAACGAGATTAAACTTTTTTTGGGTGAGTTATCTAAAATGACCTGTAGCAGTACCAAGGAAGCAGAAATGATTTTGTTATTTTATTTTTTTATTAAGAACTAAGTAAATAAATTTCATCTTCACAGTAGGGAAGTTGTTGGTTTCCTGTTATGTGCCGGTGCTCTGGAACCCACAACTCTTGCATCTGGGAGAAGGCACTTTACAACTAGGACACGTTCTTTCAACAGATAATGTTGGAAGTAAAGAATTAGTTTACTTTTAGGAAAATATATCGTGTTTAAATTACTACTCTTCTTCTTTTACCATCAAATTGAAATTTTTGCTTCAAAGTTATTTTTCGTGAAGTTGGTGATTTTCCTTGTACAGCTGGTTGCATTTTGCAGTACTGGAAACATGGTTCAGAGCTTCAGCCTTGCAAGTGCCCCATGTGCTCTCGACCCATTTGTAAGTTGACACCAGCAACATCGATGCACTACCAGCAGGAAGAGGGGGTTGCTGAGGTTCTGGAAAATATTTGGACATACAACCACCTTTTCGTTGGAGGCATATATGGTCTCATCCATGTGGGTTGACATGTCTCTTCGTTTGTGAATTTTTTTATATATATACCTCAGCTTCTTGGCTTATTATTTATTCATCCATTTTTATTCCTCTCTCTCTCTCTCTGTGACATTTATGCCTTCTAGGCCTGGTGGTTCCATTCCAGATGTTCTTTTTACAGTAATAAGCTGATTTATAGGTGCTGTATAGTTAGTTGTAACTTTCTGGCATTTGATGTTTTTAATTACTGCAAATCCAAGTTTTGTATTTGCTCGATTTTAGAACTTGATGAGTCAAAGTGTGTGCATACTGTATAGTGGTATAATTTTCTCACTTCTTGAACCTTTTCATGTTAGTAATATAATTGTATATATAGATCTATGTAGCTTAGTGAGGTTTAAATTTGGAGAGCATTCCTTTCTTGCTACTGTTGCATTTGTTCTTTGAAATTGTGGCTGTTCAAATATTTGGAACTGCCATTTTGGCATTTTCTGCAGATAGGAAAAATGAACTGGCCATACAAACAAAATATGGTTCATCTTGATATATATTATGAGGAAATCAAGAACTAGAAGCAAAATGAACATCAAACTTTTGGGCTGTTGTGGTATTTGCAAAAGCTAGAATGTGACCACCTTGCTAGTTGGGATGTAACTACTTTTGAGACATCAAAGCTTAGTTCAGGATTTGGGCAATCCCAGGTAATCAGTATGATGTGTTAAGACATATAAACTGCACTTCTCTAGGATTGTTAAGGATATTATTGATTGCCATGGCGAAATGAGGCCATTAGTGGCTCTTGCTTTTCTATTTTGGGAAACTGTGGCTGACATGTATATTTGGAAACAACGTATACATTTTTAGCTTGACAACAATAAGTATTGTCTAGGCAACTAGCATAATATCTATCTAGGATAGCGTTTGTGCTCTTAAAACTTTGAGCCAGAGAGATGAGCAAGAAGCAGGAGAAACATCGTGTTTGTGGAGACCTGAATTTGAACAGCATGGTTGAGTATTCGTGGATTATCCTATTAGAAGAGTACATAAAACTAAAGAGATTCAAAAGTTCTTAAATCTCATCTTTGATATTGTAATTGATATCTAACATTGTTCATAGTGGCTGTGAGATGGTTGAAGTGACATTCACCGGGAAAAAAAAGAGAGAAACGATTAAAATAATAAAATGGTTTGGACATGTACAAAGAAGACAACTAGGTGCACTAGTTTAAGGAGAGTGACATAGTCCACTTTAAGGATAATGCTAAGATAGGGGAAGATCAAAATATATGATTACATGTTGTTTGATTGAGGGAGGGTGGGCCTTGGCAGTTTGGTAAGGTTGCTCCATTGTGACCTAGAGCCTATAACCTTAGAGCAGAATGAGAAGATAGGATTCTTATAGGTGACCACAAGTAGTTGGGAAAAAGGCTTTTTGTTTTGTTATTATTGTTGTATAGGATTCTTATATCCGACCCCAAGTAGTTAGGAAAAGGCTTTGTGTTTTGATGTTATTGTTGTTTGTGATATGTAACATTAGAAATTGGTGGTCGTGAAGATGGAATCTTAGGACACCATGGTGGTGTATGGTGGTGGGGGCACAACTTGTTGGAGGTGGTACTAGATTAACAGTGTCATTGGTCATGATGACCCGATACAGAGTTGGTGGGCAGTGGACAAGGACAATTATGGTGGTTGTTGCAGTGGTGGCAGCAGCGGTTTACATTTGGTGCTGGCAGAGTAGTGGTGGATGTGCCCCCTCCCTCTGCTCAACAAACCCCGTCTAGACGCATACATCTGGTTTTTATTAGTGTTTGTGGATCATCATGCAATGACACTTCTCCCCTTGATACACCAACAATTCAACACATATATGTCATATTAAATTTCAATTCTAGTTCAAGTGTACCTCAAAGGCTCAAATACAAGAAATATATTTAATGATCCCAAATCCATTAAATACCTTACGTTTACCTCGTTCATTGGGCAAAACCTTTTCCAAGTGCATGAATGGTAAGGAACCATTTTAAATAGCTGCCAACCTGAGTGCTGTTTGAAGCAATGAATTTTCAAAATTATACTCGTACATGTCTCCTGTTGATTCCCAACCAGAATTTTCTCATCTTTTCCAGCTAGTGTTCCTCTGAGCTTGCTTACATTCATTGTCAAAATTATTAGTATCTGCTGGAATGAATAGATTCATTGTCATAATTGCATTCTTCTAGTCAAGTGGTGAGGCCCTTAGTTACTTAAAATGGTAGGTTCTTAGTAGTTGAGAATGGTTGGTTCAAATGGCTAGTGGATAATCTTAAGAAGTTGAATATGTTGTCCGTCCAGTCAATATTCCATTGGTGATGATTATTCCAAGGACAATGATAATTATCAATTCATTTGAGATATTATTAGTACTAGTATCACCATAGCGTAGTAACTAGTAAATTTACTTGATATTAACATTGATGAAACTACCTACTTATCATTTTCTGAATTATTTAAATATTCATGAATTCATGTGAAGTCTGATTAGAATATTAATTGTCAATGTTCTGTTTTATCTTCAATATAATTTTTTTCACAAAATATGTCTCCAGTGTATATTATTTAGTTGGTGAACTTATGCTTATAGATCTGCAGTGTTAGTTGCATGACCATCTTGTTTATTTCAGATATATGGCTTAAACTTGTCTTGAGTATTTCATTTTGGAAGGTAATCACGTGTTAAGCAAGTAGGAAAGTGTTCTTATTAAGCGTTTACATTTTTATTCCTTTTCTTTTCGGCAGAAAGTACTTGTGTTACCATTGATCATCAAGAGAATATATCGAGATATGATGAATCCTGATAGAGCTCTTCATCACCTTCACAAAGCACACTTCGTTGCAGTAAGTTTATCCAACAGTTATACAAACTGAATGTTATACGTAAATTTTTTTTTTTCATTTCTTCTGTAGTTATTTATTTTTTTCATTCCTTTTTTCGTAAATGAAGTAAGTTGTATCTTGTTGTAGTACCTGTTAATGATGAAAGAAAATAAATTTTGTCAAACAGAATATATAAGTAGCATGTTCCGCTGTACAAACTTTTCATGCAGTTACTCTGTAAATATCAGCTTTGAATTTAAATCATAGAATGGAGTTGTCATAAATTCATAATGGAGCTAAGATTTCCTTTAGTTTTTCCTAGAAGCTTTCTGGCGGTGCCAATTAGCGGTTAGGTTTGAAATTATGGTAAATGCGGTGTGTGCCGGTAATGTCTAATATACGTGTAGGCAATTACTGCTTGCAATGATAAAAACTTCATAGAGTAAGCATCAGTAACTTGATGCCTAGCTGGTAAAACTCAATAACTTTACTAAGATTTCTTCTGGACATTCGCTTCGTGTCTTTTCTTCTTTAGGCAAATTTTGATTACCATTTTACTTCTCTTGCAGATATTGCTGGGTGCCCTCTACAATTTCTGCTCCTTTGACTTCCTTAAAACAGGTATTTTGCTTCAATTTTAATTTTAGGGAGTTCAAACTGTTAGAAGTACAGTTTCCTGTGCACATGGGTTTAAAATAAAATATCAAGATGACTTATCAAAAGTAGTTAAATAAATAAAAGATCAAGATGCAAACTGAATGGGTCGCACACCTCCTCATAAACATCAATTAGTCTATCTGGTTAAAGAAATTGTTACAATTCCTTACGTTTGGACCTCGGTGGTAATTTGTTTGTGTTTTTAGACGATGGGAGAGCAAGACTAAAATCCCTCGGTCCTAAAGTGGCCCGAATTTGGTGCCGGATCAAGTTGCGACCCGTTTGCTTGCAGGTCGTGAACCCTATTTAGTATTCTCTTATAACCCGATATATTAGGGCGCTTAGGGTTTGGAGTGGTACTATTGAGAGACATTGAAAATTGCAGAAAAAAACCAAAGTAAGAGCGAGAGCTAGGGTTTTCGGGTTGAAACATGTAATCTCCAGATTTTCGCACAGTAGTGGATTCTTTTGCCGGATCTTCACCGTGGACGTAGGCTTTGCGGAACCCCGCTAAATCATTGTGTATTTTGTGTGTGACGTGTTTATTTTCTCATGTTTCTTGATTTTCGCTGCGTTTGTCATGCTCAATGTGTGATCTCTTCATTTCATCCAAAGTAAACTGATGGGCTGCTGTACTGCAGGGGATCTGAGTGCCGTTGACTTCTTCGACTTCTGTACTACCGCTTTGGTAGGCATCCTATACTTGATTGGTCTTTGTCGCATCCGTCGTCTCCAACATGGGGTACGGTCGGCTGCCATCCGATCTTGAATTTACTGCAACGGCTGTCCTCAGTCTAAACCCTCGGAAAGATTCTTGATGCTGATGTGTTCTTGGTGGTTTTTTGTGTGCCTGCTGCTCTATACAACTGAATTTGCATATGAACAAAACATTCTATTTGTTCGATCCTTTTTGTTTTGTTTCTCAATAGAAAGTAAACGAAATATGTTAGGTACTATTCTCACAATAAATTCTTAGTTGGAGTACCTGAAACCATTGTAACAACAAATGTCTTATTTGTTGTGCTGAAACAGAAGGCCAAGAAAATGCCCATGTAACTTCTGTATAGTAATTCCTTGTTTCGTTTCTTAACGACTTAGGTTGCACATTCTCTTGCTATGGGATGACGATGGTTCTCGTCGGAAAGGGATGTTAGTAGCTAATATGTGATTCATTGTTTCTAGGGTTTCGTTATCTACGTCACTGCACCATGGATGAGAATGCAGCATGACTGACACCTGATATTTGTTAGCTACAATCTTAACTGAACTGAGTTGAGTTTGCAAGGCAATGGAATTCTAAGATTGGGGGCAAGAAAAACAATTTAATTTTGATTTCCCCTGCATGCAGCTAGCTAAACAAAATTGTTGGATCTATATAAATATGACCCTATATGGACTGAGAACACTAAGTACTCCGAAAATTACAGATTAAATTTAAAATTTTTTTTTTAATCTTAATTTATGCTAATTGAATTAATTGGGTGCTATTATATACTAGTAGCTTTGTATCGGTGAAGTTCAAGAGTTGAACAAGAATTGTCAAGAGTTGAACAAGAATTGTCGACATTCGCCGCTACAGGATAAATTAGGTACTCTGGACTGATTCTATCATAGTAGGGGCCAACGATAGATAATAATTTTTCTCAAAATTTTACTCAGAAGGTACTGCATTATTTAAAGTATTCCCTAATAAATAGTAAATAAATAAAGCTTTTTCGAATAAGGACAAGGTTTGGATGGGCTTGGATTCAGTATGAAAATGGATTTTTTTTTTTTTTTTTTTTTTTTTTTTTTTTTTTTTTCGAGATCGAAAGCTATTGCAGATAAAAGAACAACTGCACCCAATATTGACATCTAGCATTTATATTTGAAACTTGATTTTACAGTGAAGTTATCAAAGAACATCAATGATGGGTACGATTTTCATCAGATAAAAATGCATTAGGCTATTGATTGGACCATGAGACTAAAGTTCGATCACGGACCATTTTTTCCAAACGCTTCATCATAAAGAAATGAAAAGTTGGACCAGGAAAAGAATTTGGGCCATATTTCTCTACTTCTCTATGAGACTTATGTCCTCTTTAAGATTGTGTTTGAAAAGAGTCAACTTCTATAGTAATTTCGGTTCAAATCAAGATCACTTCCCTATTTCGCAAAGTAACTGATCAACCCATTCTTGTTCTTGTTATGGATAATCGATTTCATAACTCTATTGATGCCTTAATCGGAGGTATTCAATCAAATCTTGTTAACAATGTTATTTGGTTCAAACTCACACCAAACTACTTTGTTTCAATTACTAATCCCAATATTGAAAAAGTATTAAAAGTCAAAATTCAACTTTCAAATCTCAAAATGGATCGTGACTCTCCAGGTTTAGGAATTCAATAGAAAGTTCTTTATGAACTCACTCTAGAACCTGAAACCTCTACACTTCCAATTGATTCAAAACTAGTCACTTTGTCCAAACCACGTCCTTTCGATTCAATAATTGAACCCAAATTATTGCAATGGACAGACCTCGAAATACCATGAAATTGACTATTTGAAGGAATCAATGCTGAACCAAAGCTACACATAGAAGAACCCACAGTTACCACTATTCAAGCCTCTGGTTCAAATCTCTATATAACAAAAAAAGAGAAACCTCAGCTGCAAAAATCAGCTTAAGCAAGACTTTCCGGTGACAAGTGTGGATGGGATAAACTGCTTCCTCCACGATCATCCAATGTCCAATCTTCCGAACTACCTTGACGAAGATTTACTTGGGCAGAAAAAGGAAAAGAGATTATCAACAAAAATGATGCACCTTTCCTTCCCGGATCAAACCTTTCTATGCGATCCGCTCGATTTTTTCATTTCCAACACGGAAAAGATGAAATCCTTATTGCTCCATCGCAAGGGAAAAAGCCGAAGTATACCTATGTCAATGGTATCCTCAACTTCAAAGGTTATAAATCATATAGTCTTTGTGTTCTCATTGACACTAGAGCAACCACAAGCTGCTGCAGGTATAATGCCATTCCAGCAGAAAAATGGTGACAGATGAAACACCCCATTGGTGTACAAGGTATTGATGCGGAAGCACCGCATACTGTCATCCCATTTAAAGCTAAAGATATTTCTATTTGGTGACAAAAAATTCATCATTCCAAAATTACTTTACTTTCCATTTATGCATGATGATTTTATCTTAGGTTGTAATTTCATTTACATCTATCTTCCTTTACAGTAAAAAAAAAAAAAAAAAAAAAAAAAAAAAAAAAAACCAATTTCTTTAACTTTAAAAGATCCAACAGTTGTTGAAATTTTAATTCAAGAAAATTTAACTTTTGTTTGCGATAGTAGTTTTTCTCCACCCAAAAGAGAAAATACTGATATTTTTGTCTTAAATGAAAAACATTGGCTATATGCTATTTTAAGACAAAACTTTTATGAGAATCCTTTAAATCTCTGGAAATGTAGTCCTCGTTTTTGCAGGTTACAACTTAAAGATTCTCATATTATTATCCGAGTAAAACCCATGATATATCTCAAAAAAGATATAGATGAGTTTGATGATCAACTTCAAGATTTTATAGAAAAACCAAGTTAACCAACATATTCATAACTACTAATATATTCAGTACTTTTAATTTATTATTCTCTGTTACTTCTTGAATTGAATTCAATACATTCTAATAACATAATACATTCAGGATTACAAATTCAATAACTAACATTTAGCCACAATCCAAAAAACTAACAAAATTCAATTACTGTAAATCAATAATAATAATAAAAAAACACATGCATTAGCCACCGTAGGATTATATTATATTATATAACATACATATAATTTAACGGTTCGGTTTAGTCCAAAATGACCTTAAATAGTGACCAAATTGTATTTTTACATTTCACAAATTTAGAACTGTGACCCAACCAAACCTTTAGCAAACCAATTCAAACTATATAGTCTAATTTGATCCGGTTTTACCCTAAAGAATATTTTTAAGGTAGTGTATAGAAATTGATCTTGGAGGTCAAATGGACCTCTCTCTTAGTGCGCTTAGAACGCAATACAATGGTCATCTCCATGGGTCACTAGTGCTCTCAAGCCCTATCGGGTTCCTTCTTCATCACCAAGGTATTATGTTCCATTTTCTCACTAACCAAACACAGAATTTAGTTAGGTTTGCTCTTGAAAAAAAAAAAAACGTCCAGAGAAAATAAACCCAAAAGTAGTTAGTAGTAGTGTGGGCTTTTTTTTTTTTTTTTTTTTTTTTTAAGGTATAAACCCCGACAGTTTGCGTACTATTTTTATATAATTTTCCATCTAATTTTCTGACCAACCAAAAGGACAATTTCTCATGGTTTTGTCTCATTTAGTAAAATACTTTAATTTAGTACTCTCTTCCTTATCAATGCATAATATGCAATTCAATTTTTTAGAATTTGCATTGAAATTTTGTTAGAGTTGCTCGCGATTCAGTACAATACAAGCTCCTCCCCGAGGATTTCATCAATCTAGGGTTTCAAGCACTTTGTCTGCGAATTCAAAAGTCCCCCAAACACCGAGCTTTGTGGCAATGCAAGAAGACAGGAGTTTGAAAGTTCCGCATGTTCTGACAGTTGCTGGCTCTGATTCCGGGGCCGGGGCCGGAATTCAGGCTGATCTCAAGACTTGTGCTGCCGCGGAGTGTGATCACTGCTGTCACTGCACAAAACACCATTGGTATTCAGGTTTGATTGCAATTTGGAGACTCGTATTATAGCTGATTCTGGTGAAAGTTTTTTATTTTTTTTTTTGTCAGTTTATGTTCTGATTTGGGTTCAAAAGTTCATTTTGTTGTCAGGGTGTGAACATCGTGCCAGAGGAGTTTGTTGCGGAGCAATTGAAGTCTGTGCTATCTGATATGCATGTTGATGTTGTAAGTCAATATTAAGGATTGCCATTCATGTTTCAGTTTTATGGTTTCCTCTGGTTTATCTTGATCTAAAAGTGTTTATTATTATTATTATTATTATTATTATTATTTAAATTATTACGAGCTGAATTCTATATCTTGAATCAATCATAATATTGAATCCATGAATTATGTCCTTAGCTTTGAGATACTCGAGTTCCTTATGCGGTGTATTGGATCCACGATTTACAATGTTGTCATTGTAGATAATTATAGCATATAATACTTGTTTTGGAGTTGACAATAACTGTCTAGCAATTTTTTGCATGGACAAGGATGTGTGATCCGATTACGATCACAACAAACACAAATTGGCAGGGCCGGCCCTGAGATTCCAAATATTTTGAGAGGCCCTAGGCGAACTTTCAAATGTGAGGCCTTGAGTTTCACATGCGCAAAAAAGAATTATAAGAGTGCAAAATTTTAACACGATGTTTTCAAATTCTATAGCTAATACAATTGTGCCCTTGTGCATTGTGCAAAAGACAACTAACTAATAACTATAAATTTATCACCACCAACAAATAATTGTGCGCCTGTACAGTGTGCATAAGACTACTAACTAATAAGTATAAATCAATCACTACCAATAAATAATTGTGCGCATGTGTTGTGTATTTAAGACAACTAACTAATAACTATAAATTTTTATCACCACCAATAAATAATTGTGCGTGTGTGCAATGTGCATAAGACAGCTAACTAATAACAATAAATTTATCAATTAAAGAGTGCGAAATTTTCACAGGCACAAAATAAAAAAATGAAGAGAACAGTTTCAGAAAACTGCAGCTTCTTTTACATTCATTGTTTATATAGCTACTAAAATTTGATGATTACAGATGACAAAAATATGTGGAGATGAGGTGACTATATATATATATATATATATATATAGGAGGCTGAACTTGTAGTACTGAAGAAGTAGTGGGACTTTTAGGTTATATGTGGCCTCCACTATCATATATAGTGGAGGCCACATATATTAACTATACTACACTTTGTTGTGTGTTTTTTTGGGAGCCAATAATCCGCAGTGATTGATTGATCATTGCTACAGAAGACCTGTACAAATTAATAGAAAAAACCATTAACTTTTGTTTTGTTAAAGCCTGCTCTTGATTTCCATGTGTTTGTA